CAATGAAATCAAAACCTAGTTTTTTTGAAGAGATAACAAAAGTGATAAGCCTTTAATTGGATTTACAAAAAAGAAGAAGTGGGGAGGAAGGAGGAGGAGGAGAAGGAAGAAGGACGATGAGGAAAGAAGAGGAGGAGGAGGAAGAAAAAGGAAGAAGGTAGAGGATAAGAAAGGAGGGGGAGGAAGAGGGAGAGGCAGGGGAGAGGGAAGGATGAGGAGAAAAAAGAAGAAAGAAGAAGAAAAAAGGGAAAGGGAGAAGAGACTTTAATTACTAGAATAAGAAGTGAAAGAGAAGATATTACTACTGACTTTAATGAAATAAAAAGAATTATAAAGTAACACTATCAACAACTCTATTCCAATAAATAATATAATTTAGATAAAATAGACATTCCTAAAGAAAAAACACAAACTATTGAAACTGAATCAAGAAGAAAAAAATAATCTTAACAGATCTATAACAAAGAGTTCGAATTAGTAATCAGAAAACTAGCCATGGAAAACAACCCAATCACAGATGTCTTCACTGATGAATTCTACTAAACATTTAAAGAAGTAGTAACAATTCTTCACAAAGTCTTCCAAAATTAGAATAGTAGGGAACATGCCCAACTCATCCTATGAAGCTGGTATTACCCCAATACAGACAAATACATTGCAAGAAAAAAAAACTATAAACCAATATCTCTTAAGAATATGGATATAAAAATTCTGAACAAAATACCAGCAAACAAAACTAGCAGCATATTGAAAGGATTATACACCATGACCAAATGGGATATACTCCAAAAGTTCAAGAATAGTTTAACATTTGAAAATCAATTAACGTAATATACCATATTAATAAAATACAAAATAAAAGCCATGTTTATATCAATTGATGCAGAAAAAAATTTGGCAAAATCCAACAACCTTTCACAATGAAACAATCAGCAAATGTAGAATGAAAGGGAATTTCCTCAACCTAATAACAGGTACATACAAGAAACACACACCTAATATCATACTTAATGGTGAAATACTAGATGATTCTCTCCAAATATTAACATCAAGATAAGGGTTCCCATTCTTACCATGCTTATTCAACATAGTAACAGAAGCCTTAGGATCTTTAATAAAGCCATAAAAATAAAAAATGATAAAGACTGGAAAGAAATAAAACTGTCTCTATTTGCAGATGACATGATTGTCCCATGAAGAATGTACAAAAATGAAAAAGGCAAGAATTGTTATATGACTTCAACTAATAAACATGTGGAATTCAAAATTTAAAACATAATACCATTTATAATCACTTCAAAAAAATAAAATTACATACTTTTACATATGTAGGTATATACTTAACAAAACTTGAATATCCAGATAAAAGAAATCAAATTAAGACTTAATTAAAATGACTTAATTAAAGAAGACTTAATTAAATGGGAAGACATACCATGCCCATGGACTGAAAGACTCAATGTAATAAAGATGACAATTATCCCCCAAATTTATTTATAGATTTAATGTAATTCCTATAAAATCACATCAAGATATTTTATAGATACATACAAGATTATTATAAATTTATACAAAAAGGGACAGACATTAAAATAGCAAAAACTATTCTTGAAAACTATCTCCAAAAATAATAGTAGTGGGAGAAATCACTACACTGGGTATTGAGGTTTTCCATATACTCAGTAATCATCAACAATGTGGTATTGGCAAAGGAGGTGTCAACCCACATATCAATGAAAGAAATTAAAGAACCTAGAAAAGACCCATGTAAATATGCTGAATTGATTTCTAACAAAGGTGCAAAAACAATTCAATGACAGAAAGATAACCTTTTCAAGAAATACTGCTGGAGCAATTGAACATCCATATGCAAAAAAAATTCAACCTCAAACCACGCTTCAACAAACCTTATACAAAAATTAACTGAAAATACATCCCATACATAGATGTTAAAAGGAAAGTTATGAAACTTAAAAAAACTGGCAAATAAATCTGGGATCTAGCAGTAAAAAAATCTTCAGATTGATACCAAAAGCGTGATTCATGAAAGCAAATGTGATAAACCAAACCTCATTAAAACTGTGGCTCTGCAAAGATCCTGTCAAGAGAATAAAAAGACAAAACATAGGCTAGAAGAAAATATTTGCAAATAACATACCCAGAAAAGGAATAGTATCTAGAAATATATATACATATATATACATATATATATTTAAAACTATCAAAAAACTCAACAGTAATATATTAAATACAAATATTCCAATGAAAAAATGATCAAATAATATCAGCAGACATTTCATCAAACAGGATGTACAGATGGCAAATAAACTCATACAAACATGTTTAACACATTATTAGAAATTAAGGAAAAGCAAATTAAAACCACAATGACATATTGCTTCACCTATAAGAATGGCTAAAATAAAAAGTAATTACAGCACTAAATGCTGGTGAAAATGTGGAAAACTGGATTATTCTTATATTGCTGGTGGGAATATAAAGTGGTACAGCCACTCTGGAAAACAGTTTGGCAGTTTCTTATAAAATTAAATATGCAACTATCATATGATTTATCAACTGCACTTTGGGCAGTTATCCCATGAAAGTTAATACTTATGTCAATATAAAAATTAGACCCAAATATTCATAGAAGCTTTATATGTAATAGCCAAAAACTTGAAGCAACCCATATGTGCTTCAATGTGTGGGTGCTTAAACAAACTGTGGTACATGCATACTATGGAAGACAATTCAATAATAGAATGGAATGAGTGACTGGTACAGTTTGGATGTTTATACCCTCCAAATCTCATGTTGAAATTTGATCCCCAATGTTGGAGATGGGGCCTAATGGCAGGTGTTTGGGTCATGGGGCCAGATCCGTGATGAATGACTTGGTGCTGTCCTCATGGCAGTGAGAAAGTTCTTGCTCTATTAGTTTCCAGGAGAGCTGACTGTTAAAAAGAGCCTCCTTGCTTCCTTTCTCCCCATGAGATCCCTGCACGTGCCAGCTCCCCTTCTCTCCTGCCGCAAGTGTAAGCAACCTGAGTCCCTTACCAGCAGCAGATGCTGGTGCCATGCTTCTTATACAGCCTGCAGAACCAAGAGCCAAATAAATCTTTTCTTTATAAATTTCCCAGCCTCAGAGATTCCTTTATAGCAACACTAAATGCATACAAAAACTTATATGATTCTCCAAGGAATTAGGCCGAATGAAAAAAGCCAATCCCATAAGATTATATATCACTATATTTATATATTTTTGAAATCACAAAATTATAGAATTGTAGAAAATTAATGATTGCCAGGATAGGGGTAAGAGGAAAGTGAGTTCAATTATAAAAGGACAATAAAAGGCATCTTTCTGTTGATGGGACCCCACTGCATTTTGTCTCTAGTGGCAGATATATGAGCCTACACATGTGATAACAATTATGGAATCACACACACACACATAAATGAATACACATAGAACTGGAGAAATATGAACAAGATGAGTAGAAAGTCAGTATCTTGGCCTGTTAATGTACTATAGGTTAACAAGATGTTACTATTGGGGGAAGCTGGGTAACAGATACATGGGATCTCTCTGAATTATTTCTTGCAACAATATGTGAATCTACAACAATCTCAAAACAGAAGCTTAACATAAATATAGGCCTAGAAAAGAAAATATAAGAAACTATTTTAGTTTTCTAGGTATAGGAAATAATCTCTTAGCTAAAACAAAACAAAACAGAAATGCATTTCAAAGAAATAAACTGATAAATCTCACAACAAAATTTGAAACTTCTGTTAGTATAAATATCATAAGACAAGTGAGAGCTAGGCAAAAATTATTTAAAATATGAATAAGAAAGAATTAGTATCCAGAATAGTGAATACCTACATACTAGTAAGAAAAAGGCAAACTATCCAAAAGTAAAATGACAATGAAATTTAAATTATTGCATAATAAAAACATAAAAAATGACAATGAAATTTAATCTATTCCATAATAAAAATATAAGAAGATGTTCAAACCTACTAATAATTAATAAAGTATATAGTAAAGCAATGAGTCACCATTTTATACTTATTGGATTGATAAATTCAGAGTTGATCATTTTCAGTGTTAGTTTATTTTTATAATTTTCTAAAATTGTTAAAGATTATAAATGTAAAAATATAATGTAATTGTAAGTAAAATCAGCTCTTCTTATAATCCAAGGGATAATGAATACCTTGCTCAATACAATAAGAAACATGAGCCAAAAAGAAAATACCATTTGTGGATAATATAAAATTTTAAAAATTTATCCTTTATTTAGGATAAAAAAAGGCCAATAAACTAAAGAAAAGCAAAACATAGAATACAATGAATTTGACACAAAATTAATATCTATGTAGCTGAGTATCTGTATATGTACATATCTCCCAGTGGCTATTTATACAAATACATGCACAAAGAGCTCATACAAATATAATAGCAAAATTTAAATAACCCACCAAAGGCGAAAAATTCTTATTAAAAACCATGAAATGACATTATTAACTTGTTAAACTGGCAAAAATTCAAAATACAGCATTAAGAGAGTTTTAGAAACTGAGGTTCTTATCTACTATGCAAGGGTTATAAATTGCTATGCTCTTTAATACTCAGAATTTAAAAACAATCATGAGACCTGGAATTTTAAATACTTAGAATTTAATATAGTATAAACTATATTACCATCATAATTTGAAAACATAATTGTCTACATTCCCTGCTTCATTCATACACTTAAATTTATCTGTGTACACACTGACATTCCTCTGAAGAAAATAGACTATGCTCTGTTAACCACTCTGTGCCACCACTAACCCTTAACAAAGCACTTTGTAAAATATAGGCAGGCAGTAATTTTTTTTAATTAAATAAGACTAAAAATAGCAAAATCCCTTTAAAACAGACTTATTAAAACATTTAAACATTTTAAAACATTAAGAAATGTTAAAACACAACTACCGTCACTTCTTACCATATATAATATATTTTAGTTGAAGATTTTTAACCACTTCTTCCACAGAAGGTTTATACTCAAGGAAACATGTGTAAACGCCACTCATACTCTCCTCAAAGTTCTGGAATACAAGGCTTCCTGTGGATGTTATCTGTGCAGTGCTGTTTTCTAATAAAGGAATAAGATACAGTTATTAGTTACTTAAATTACATATGAGAGATAAAATACCAAAACATTTTGTAAGCAAAGTAAAACAATAAAAATGTATCTATACCATCACTTAAAGGAGTTGAGGGCAGAGCTAGTCATAGCATCTGGGGCCTGCTGACAGTGGGTGCCAGGATAACTTTCTTAGTGTCAATCTTTCACAAGCCAGAGTTCAGTAATTTTGTGGCTACCTAAGTGATAACAGACTAACAAGGACATGAATATAATGTACTCCGAATCTGCTCCTTGCATTGAACTGGACACTATCACAAATATAGTACATGTATACACAAATATATACATATTACATACATAAAATATGCATGTAATATTATATAGTATATGTTTATATATACTATAATCATATATTTTAACGTTGAGTTATGGCCTCAGTAAGCTTACAAACTGCATATGAAACAGATAAAATAGTGTACCCATAACAAAAGCTAACAGAATATAACCCTAACAACTAGATATTTCTATCACTACACATGATATAAAGGAAAATTTAGGTTGTAACCTTGACAATTGCAGAAGAAAAAAAAAATAAATAGGAGACTAGATCACCTAATTTGTCCAAGGTCTCAATCACAGAGTTGCAGTGTTGGGAGTTAGAATGGGATTTAAGCTCACTTTTTACCTCAACAAGCCACACTTCTAAGTGTCACACTGGGAGAAAGCTATGCTGTGAAATAGAAAGTAAATCAGCCTTTAGAGGCATTAGACCTGAGTTTGAGGACGACCTTTCTCTCTTGCAAACTATGTAACCCTGAGAAGCCACTTAATCTATCTGAAATCTAGCTCCTTCATTTGTACAATGAAGAATTATAATACGTGATAGCCTATCTCACAGCATTATTCCATATAACCAATACAATGAACATTAAAATACTTGAAAAAGCTATAAATCTGTTACTCTGAAAGTTCATAACCACAGATTTTCATTAGAAAATTTTTTAGATATTAAAATTTGCTTAGTTGAATAATTTAATATTCCATTCATTGAAACTGAAATTATTATCTCAGGAAATAATTGTCTACCTTTTTCTATTTTAAATAAATAATTTATTGCTTATAAATTTTAAGTTCAAATATTTCTCCAAAATAAGACAAAAGATAACTGTTCTTAGTGATGAACTTTTCATTATTAATTTGTTTAACAAATATTGATTGAGTTTCTAGGACAGGGGTGGGGAACATGAATGTGTTTGCTATATATTTCAGGAGAAACAAACACCTCACAGGAATACAATAAAAGATATCTATGAATTTTAAAGAAATTTTAGAATTTGGCAATAATCTAAAATGCAAGTTTCCCATACCAAAAGTATCATTTAATAAGTGTATCAAAATATGTATTTGAATGCATACTACAATGTTAGATATGAAACCAGAAATCAAGTAGTATACAATCTATAATAAAATGCTCCCTGGCTTCTTTCTTAATGAAAAAAAAAAAAAGTACTACATTTTGAAAAGATATCCTGATTACTTCATACTCAATGTAAGAACACATGCTATAATAGCACTTTTGTTTTTTCAAACCCTTAAGTGACTAAGTCAAAATGGAAACATCATGATGCCAAGGGCTATGTACTACAAGAACTAATGTAACAGCAGATACTAAATAAATAATTGTTTAATTAAAGTTGGTATTTCTTTCCTCTCTAGATTTTAGCTTGATAATCTAAAAAGTCATAGAGTTGGACTAGATATCTCGAAGCCCATATCTTAAGAGTTCTAAAATTAAATGACAAAATTTAAGCACAATTTCATTACAACTTATTATATTTAAAATAATAAAATAGCTTAATATTTTAAAAATCTTATCTGGTCTGAGCTTGAATGTGAAACATGGATATAAGAGCCTCAATAGCACCATTACAATAAACAAAAAGCTATAAAAACTGCCAATTAACCATTTCTTGATCCTATTAAGGAATTGAGGTGGCAGGACAACTAATAACCTGAAATCTGAGGGTAGACAGGGGCTTACAGATCAGGACCTAAGCATTTGCTTTAGCTGCCACATAAAGAAGTAAGATGATTCAGCTAAATGTTTTTAATGAATTGCTAAAAAGCTAAGTATAGACCAGTGTTAGCAAGTCAAGTCCCTGGGGACCACATACAAAGGGAACCCTCTTACAGGTTTTTCATACACAAATAGCTCTAGGGGCTTACAAGAAAGATCAGGGGAACCCTGAGCAAACTTCCCACAGGGTGCTGGCTAGAGGAGGGATTTACCAGCCCTGACGAAACTCTACCCATACCTATTTCCCTTACACCCCCCGTAAGGAACAAAGCTTTAATATACAGGAAGAGAAAAAACAAAAACTGTCACCTAGTGCACTGTAGAAACTTGTTGCAGCTCAGAAAGGAAACAGGAAAAAAAAGGTGCTTCATCTTTGGGGAACAGTCAGGAAGAAGTGCTAGGCCAAAACTAAAGCTGAAGGAGTTGGAGCAATTGTGAAGGCCACACCCCAAACCTAGGAACACTATGCCTGCCAAAAAATAAAGATTAATTAGAACATCAGAGAATGTCCCTCTCTCCAAATTACCCACCACTAATAAGAGTTTACTAAAATTAGCAATGGAATAGGGCTGACAGAGCAGTAAGAGGTTCTCTCTGGGAAATAGCACAAAATAAGAAACCACAGTCCAGGAAAGATTACACACTGAAAAAAAATAACTTCTGAAACATTTTTAAGGGTATTTGAAGCATTCATTGCATTGAGTGTAACAACACCAACAAGCAACATCAAAGCCAGACAAGTCTTAACTACATTAACACAAACCCATAACACTAAAGGTTTAACAGGAAGGGTGTTCATCTCAAAGCATTAAAATATTTACCTCAATAACTATTGTCTTATTCAAGATGTCTGACTTCAACAAAAATTAGAAGGCATACAAAAAGACAAGAAATGGTACATTCTGAAGATACCAAGAAATGCTCAGGACCAGACTCCTATAAGACATAGATATAAGAAATATCAGACAGTTCGTTTAAAATAACTATGATTAATATGATAAAGAATTTAATGAAAAACATACACAACACGCAAGATCAGAGAGGTGGTTTCGACAGAGAGATTGAAACTACAGAAATAATCAAATAAAATACTACAAGTAAAAACAAAACAAAAACAACAAAAAGAAAAAAGTTACAATAACACAAAGTATTCCTTCAATAGGCTCATAAACAGGCTTGACACAGCCAAGAAAAGAATAAATACACTTGAAAATAAGTCAAAAGAAACCTAACCTGAAACACAAAGAGGAAGAAAAAATGGAGAAGAAGGAAGAGAAAGGAGAGGGGAAGAAGAGTGGGAAGGGATGGAGAAAAAATAGGAGGAGTAGTGAGAGGAATCCAAGAGCTGTGGAACATATCAAACATGGTAATGTAAGAGTTATGGGAATCTCAGAAGAAGACGAGATATAAAAAAGAGGAAAGAAAAAATATTTGAAGACATAATAGCTGAGAATTTTCAAAAAAAATATGATAAACACCAAGCTCTAGATCGATCCAAGAAGTTTAGAGAACACCAAGCAGAATGAATACAAAAACCAAATAAAAGAGATACACATAATATTCAAATCCCTGAAAATGAAAAGCAAAGAGAAAATCTTGAAAAAATGGCATACTGCCCAGAGAGGGGCAAAGATAAGAACTTCAGTGGACTTATCATTAGAAATCATGCAAGCAATACACACACACACACACACACACACACACACACAGAATTCTATCTTTAAAATGTTAAAGAAACTTTCAACCCATAATTCTATAGACAGCAAAAGAAAAGCACGAGCAAATTAAACCCAAAGCAATCAAAACAAAGGAAATAATAAAGTTAAAAGCAAAAATCAGTATTTTGAAAACAGAAACACAATAGGAAAAAAAAAAAATCAATGAAGCCAAAAGCTGGTTCTTTGAAAAGACTGATAAAATTGTTGAACACATAGCCACAGAGATGAAAAAAAAGAGAGAGAGAGAGAAGACACAAAAAACATCAACAGTGAATGAGGGCACATCACTATAGACCCTGAATACACTAAAAAAGACAATAAAAAATATTACAAACTACTTTACACACACAAATTCAACAAGATGAAATATTCAACAAGTTGGACAAATTCCCTAAAAAAACACAAACTACCAAAACTCACAAAATAATGTGTTCCTACCTCAATGAAATTGTATCTATGTACTCTGAAGTCAGACCTCAAAGACATATGACCTTAGGAAAGTACCTTATTCTCTTGACGCCTTTGTTTTCCCATATGTGAAATGAAGAAAATGGCTATATTTACTGTAAAGCCTTGTGAAAGTTAAATGACTAATATGTGTGAACTGTTTAGAGCAGTATCTGATTACATGTGTTTATTATTTGTATAAAATTAATTATGCTAAGTGAAATAAGCCAGACACTGAAAGATAGAAAGACATATACATGGTATCACTTATATGTGGAATTTAAAAAAGTCAATTTCATACACATAGAGTGTATAATGGTGGTTACCAGGGGCTGGGGGGTTGGGGGAAATGGGGCATTGCTGGTATAAAGGTATAAACTTTCAGTTGTAAGATAAATAAGTTCTGGAAACCTAATGTACAGCATGGTGAATGTAGGTAACAATAATGAATTATATATACTTGAGTAGATCTCAGTAATTCTCACCATACCAAAAAAATGGTTATTATGTGAGGTAATTTATATACTAATAGCTTGATGTGGTAATCATTTCACATTGTATGGCTATATCACAATATTACATACTACACCTTAAATATATATAATTTTTATTTATCCATCATACCTGAAAAAAGCTGGGAGAGGAGGAAGAAAAATGTAAAAAAATTCAAAATAAAAGTAAAATATATACTTTTTGAATACATACACAATTTGGGGGGGGGGGTGGTAACTGCATGAAGAAAAGTAAAAAAAATAAATATTGTAAAAGTTCAGGGCAGTATTTACCAGAGGGGTGTTTGGGAGAAATGAATGGGATTTTAAGACAGTTTATTGGGAGGTCTGATAGTCTGGGTAATAGTATATCTTAACTTGTATACTAGGTTCAAGGATGTTTGTTTTACTGTGCTTTATAACTTGCATATTTCTTATTTATATTTGTATATAATAAGTTAATTTATCAGAATAGTATTAGGGTTAGAGTGGGAGGTACAGAACTTATTGTAATAAATGCATTACCTTCGCAAATAAAAAATAATGAACAAACGACAGAGAAAAAGAGAGACATACCAAGTCTAAGACTTCTCCCCTACCCTTCACAATACATCTAAACAACCTGAATATATTTTCCAAAGCATGTGCAAGTAATTACATAACTACATGGTTTCTTTGGCTCAATTTCAGTGAAACTATCTTTGGAATATTCATAAAATGATAACTAAAGTGCAGGATAGTTTAAGCTAGAGTCCAAAAAGGCTTCTCTGTTTTTCAAACTTTAAGAAAATGAGGACTTTTCCATAAAAAATGACAGAGAGATTAATAAGCTTTATGGTAGGCAATAAGCTATGATGTGACACCACATTGAAAAATAAAATATAATTATGAAGGTAGAATACCAGAACTTCCTGGGAATAGATGTTATAAAGGTAAAAACCAGTGTATTAATACAATTTCTCACTTACCCAGAGAAATAGCTATAACTCTGCACACCTACTTTTTCCATTGTGAAAGTAAGTAAAATAACATATTGTTCCTACTAAAAGAATGAAGTGAATTATATACTATGCTCTGCAATATCAACTGCAAGACCTGGCATGGCATTTTAGAGAAGAAAAGTTTTCAAATTTCAATTTCCAAATCAAAGGACCAACAAATGACAATAGAAAAATTCAATATTAAATGTTTCTATGTTTCAATGTACAGAATTTCAATATCAAATGTAAAATCTATTTAAAATATGGGTTTGTATTATATTATGTGCTACTATCAGAGAGCAATAAAAATAAAATTTGATTATTGTTCTAGGACTGGGTGCTTTTTTACCTAGACCACTTCACTGATTTATATTAGTTGCTAAAACCTCTTAGGATTTCTGTAACTGAGCCCTGCTGATTCCATGAATGCATGGGTACAATCATTCCTGCTATGTTACTGTAGTGAAGCAAAAGTATGTCCCATCTTTTTACCTCCCACAAAACTTAGCACAACAACATTTACCAAGTAGTCACTTACTAAATGAATAATTCACTTCAAAGAACCACAACCTGACCTAAAGAGTAGATTAATTCTTCAAAGCTTTTAGGCTATTAATATTTTAGAAGCAACATAACTATTATAGAAATGTATTACTGAGGTCCCTTAACTACATAAAAATATGAATTAAAACATATTACAAAATAAATATATCCTATAAATGTTTCTTTAGTAAGTCTTTGTATAAATATACTTCTTTTCTTTATTCAAAATAATAAAATTAAACCTGTAGGTTTTATCCATAGGCACTATCTCAAACTACCAATAAGTTTTTTAAAAAGAAAGGAAAACATGGTAAATAGAGCAACAAAGAAAAACTTTATCTGAGAGTATGAAAAAACGAATAGGGACTTCACTGAACAGATCATTAAGATGAAAACTCATTAGTCTGTCTTTTTAGCAAGGCTACAAACTAAACGATCTAAGCTAATAGAAAAAAATAAAATATCCATTTCAAAACAACAAAATAAGAAATTAAATAGAGAAAATTGTTGCTGAAATCAATCATACAAACAGTAATTTCTACGTAGGAAAAAAAAGTAAATTTTTTTGGAATATACGTGATTAGAGAACTCTCCAAACAGTTCAATCTTCTAGTATGTCTTTACATCAAATTAAGATATATGAATAATGGTAACACCATCGGCATTGTTAGATCAAATTCCAAAGGGAAAACACAAGAAAAATATTAAAGAAATGGATAAATGTATATGAGATACAAACACTCTATTTGTTCTGGGTACAATTAAATTGAAACAAAATCCTACCTGACACAATTTTTCCTTTTGGCCCTTGCCATTGGAATGCTGGGTCTATCAGTTCAGCATTTCGCAGTCGTTGAGTTACACATAACACATGTGGGCTCCTTTGACGGACCATGACATATACTTTCACTGAAAATATAATATTAAAATGTTTCAATAATATTTTATGTCGCTTCTTTCTCTATAATGACTTACATTTTTGTAGTTTGGGTTAGGTGCTTTCACAGGATTTCTTTGGATTATTGCTCTTATTACTTGCTGATAAGAACTAAATTTCACTGCATTCTATGTAACTAATATTAAAAAATGCATGACATATATTATTCATGTATGCATGTGTGCACATATGTGAGTATGTTCATGTATGTGTGTGTATTACCAACCTGAGCATAATGTATTCATAGTTCATGTACACTAAAAGAATATTTTATTCTTAGAATATTATTTCAATTACAAAGTATTAACATAATTCTATAGCTATACCTTATCTGTTTTGCAAAGACACCAAACATGAATAGAGTTTATAAGTAAATTGTTTAGATTAGAGGAATACATTCCTATGATTGATTTTAAATATTAAGCATTCTGTCCCATTTTGCTTTAAAATGTAAAGAATCCTGATAATTAAGCAGAAAATAGTACTCTTTGGGAAATACAAAAGGAACCCAGTAAAGATTCAATTGTTTTGAGTTTACTTAAGTAAATTTTCAGAAAAGGTTCTAATAACCCTTTAAGAATTGCATACCAACTATTCCTTATTCACTTTATGCAAAGATTTTTATGATCAAGTAAAATAAAAATTGTTTGAAAATCAAAATTCTCCTTAACTTTAAAGAGATTACCTCTAAAGTTTCCCTACAAAGCATGATGTTTACTGAATGTACTATTAGGCATATATCCTTCCACAGATTAAGAAAGATGCTTGGTTATTTGTTTTGCTTTGATTCTTGGTTATTTGTTTTGATCATAAATTGGTATTGACTTTTAAGAAATGTTTCTCTATGTTGATTAAGGAAATCATTTGTTTCTTTCTTCTTGAATATTTTAATGAAATTCTTGAATTATTATAATAGACTGCCTTTCTGGAATAAATCTAATTGGTCATGCTTTTTAACTTAAACATTGTTAAATTTAATTTGCAAACATTTTCTAATGATTGTTGCAAATATGTTCATATGTAACTATGTTTAATTTTCTTATACTATCATTTGTCCTTTTCCCATTTCAGTATCAAGCATTTATCATTATAAACATTTATTCAATATTTATTATTACTTAGCATTTTTTATTATTAAGGTAGACATCTAAGGTTATAGTGAACACAAGAAATGAACCAGGTAGATTTTCTTCTGCAGATTTTTTTCTGTAAGAATATGTAGGAGTTTTTTTCTTGGAAAACTGTATGGCTTCGTTCTTTTTTTTTCTTAGCAAGAGGGGGAATAGGAAAACAAATTTTTGACCACTGATGAAGTGAATTTAATTGGTTACTAATCTACTAAGTAATTTTACCAAGTCTATTTTATAAATTTATATTTTATTAGAGTTATTCATTTCAAGTTATTAGTGTAAAATTGTTCAGAATAAAGTTATGATCTTTTAAATTTCACCATATATTTAATCATAACACTCTTTTGTACTTTCATTTATTCTCTTATAAAAATATTTGCCAAAAATTATCTATTAATTGCTCCAAAGACAGCTTTGGGTTCCATTCAACAGCTCTACTATTCATTTTGTATTTCTTTCATTAATTTCTGCTCTCCTTTTTCTTATTTCCATCTACTTTTCTCATTTAAATTTGTCTTCTTTTTTCTAACTTCTCTAATAAATGCTCCCTCCATAAATTTTTAGTCCTCATTATGATTTCCTGACCCTAGTCTTTTCACACTCTCTGCTCTAACCTTGCCAAAGTAGCACATGCCATCATTTTGTGTGACTTTATTAAGTACCTAAATGACTTCTCATCTTTGGAAACTCAACACAAGTATAACCTTTTGCTTTGGCTTGATAGTACCTCATGCCATTACCGTGCTCTTCCTCTAGCCCCCACTAATCCCCGTACATATTTCAATCACAGTAAATAGTAATGAATCCAGAAGAATTTCCCAATGCAAGCTGAACACACAAAAACAAATAATATTCCTCTACATTAACAATAATGCACTGAACCTGATTATAGCAAAGAAGATAACATTTGAAAAAACAATAAACAGAAGTTACTCTATAATCCAAGATTTCTGTGGGGAACATTTTCAGACTCTATCAGAAGATACAAAATTAGACCACAATGCCATAATCATAAAAGTGTACACTTAGAACTTTAAAGATATCAACTTATCCCCACATTTATGTATAGAATCAATATAATTGTAAGCAAAATCCCAGAATAATTTTTTAAAGAAACTCTTGAATAATAATTCTAAAATACATCCGAAAGATTAAAGTTTCACAAATAGCTAAAACAATTCTACCACAGAAAAGCAAAGAAGAGAGACTAGAGAAAGGATTAATGAGATATATTAAAATTTACACTAAAGTCAGAACAAAAAAATAGGTCTCAGAAAAAAAAAATAGATATGTATAAATAACTGATATATGACAGAATTGGCACCTAAAGTCACTGAGGAAAACATAGATTATTAATAAATTATGGTTAAAAATTATCTCAATATGTAGGCAAAGGTGAACTTAGATTCACACCTGGTACCATAAACAAAAAATAAATACCAGGTAGACTAAAGATCTCATGACAAATCACTATGTAAAAATACATATAATACTTTTCTGTCTTGGGTTATAGAAAAATTATGTTAATACATAAAGCACAAAAATAAAAATACCGAACTAAATTCCTTAAATATTAACAATTTCTATTCAATCCTATATATCAGAGATCAACTCCACAGAGAAGATATTTGCAACAAAGATAATAAATAATGTATTTATAACTGGATTATAAACAATATGAAAGTAACTCCTTTGAAAAGAGCAATGAAAGTAATAGGCAGAGGCAACTTAACCTTCAATTTAGCAAAAACAGAAAAGTCAGGTAAAATTTCATGCTGATGAGTATGTGGGAAAATGGAACAGCTCCAAGCACTGCCGTAGGAAGTGTGAACTCATATAGCCATTTCGAAAAGCAATTTTAGTGAGATTAAGAATGCTCAGGTCCTATGATGCTGAACTTCTACTTCTAGATATAATAAGACTCAGAAAACTTTGAGAAGGTACAAAAAAATATTACAAAATGGTACTGATAACACACAACATAAAATGAATAAACTAAAAGTGCAACAAAAATGTAAATAGATGTTCGTTGAATTAATTAATGCATGAGTGAATAAAAACAGAAATCCATGTGAAATGAAAAGAATAAGCAAAAGATGAACAAGTTAAAGAGAGATGACAGAACACTGCCAGCCTAGACAGATGCTAGTATCTTGCATGACACAAGAAACTCAAGAAATTACAGGCACAAAAAAATCAGGCAGTCAGCATGTTCTGTAGCCACAACCAAAAAAGTATCATATAATGATCAACTTTGTAACATAAGAACTATCTGCTGAATTGAAATGGTAATCCATTTTTAAGAATAAATTTAATATTACCCAATAACAAAACAAATAAAAGGGAAATTAGTTACAGATAACTATTTTATAATTCAGGTTTAAAAGTTGAACTTGGTGAAATCAACAAAAATACCAGAGTAAGGAACTCCAAAAATTATCTCCTTCATAAAAAGAAAAATGCAGAAATTGTTAAAACATTTCTGACTCTAAAAATTAATCAAAGACTTGCAGTAATCCAGGAAACATTTATTCAAGAAAAACAACTGAATCTCAGTTATGGGCTGATCATACCCTTCCCCACAAAAAATTTAGAGGTTAAAGTCTTAATCCCCAGTACCTCAGGATATGAACTTATTTGGAGATAGTCTTTACAGAGCAAATCAAGTTAAAATGAAGTCATTAGGCTCAGTCCAAATCCAATATGACTGATATCCTTATAAAGGGGGAGAATTTGGACACACAGACAAATATAAAGGGAAAAGGATGGGAAGAGTCATAGAAGATGGCCATCTATAAGCCAAAGAACAATACCTGAAACAGATTCTTCCCTCACAATATTCAAAAGGAAGCAACCCAGCCAACATTTTGATTTTGGACATCCAGCTTCAAAAACTATAAGACAATCCATTTCTGTTGTTTAAGCCTGTCTGTAGTTCTTTGCTACAGCATCCCCAACAAATGAATACATTCTATAAGAACAATAAGCTTGTGGCACTTTAACTTGCCCTATTATTCCCACCTCAACTTCCCCAGCTCTGCAATATCCTTGAAAACCAACAGTCTGTAATCATATTAAGAACCAGAAGCCAGGCAGCCAGCAGAGGGGCAGGCAGGCTTAGAGTGCTTTGAAAGCCTCCTTCCCAGAGAACTGCCATTATCTGGCCTATCTGGCAGTGCCCTTGATCTCACTCACAATGACTGTCTTGATTTGACCTGACTTGGAGTTCACCTATTGCAAAAATGCTTTTCCCCAGGGGTATTCATCAAAAACAATTAGAAGCCATCATTTAACTTTGTGACTGCCTGATACAGTGGGTAACATTGGGGAAAACAATAGGCTAACCAAAAACCTTAAGAGGAAAAGCTGGGAAATGACATGTCCATAGGAGCTCTGAATCGTTCTGACACATTTCTGGGAAAACAGAAGGCCACACTCATGCATAAGGGGGTGTGCATACCTAGGACTGTGTGTATGCTCAGTAAAGACTAAGAGGACTTAAGTTCTCATCTTTGGCTAAAATTGAGGTTCTTCACAGCATAAAGTGAATAAGAATAAGATAGAGTTGTCAACTGCCTGGCTAAAAATTAAAGGTATGCCACAACATCCACAAAGGGATAAGAACTACCTGCTGAATTGAAATGGTAATCCATTTTTAAGAATAAATTTAATATTACCCAATAACAAAACAAATAAAAGGGAAATTAGTTACAGGAAACTATTTTATAATTCAGATTTAAAAGTTGAACTTGGAAAGACTAGGAAACTAATTGGCTCAAAATGTCTAATAAAATCTGTCTAATCATTAGCCTAACTAAACTATTTAATAATTAAGTAGATATTTCAGTGGCTATACATGATAAAGAATACATAATTCATTCAGCAAAGTCACTAAACAAACAGTATCAGCAAATAGCAATAACATAATACTCTGAAAAGGAGGAAGAATCTTATTTCCAGAGTTACTATATTACTTTTTTCTTTTTTAAGAGATGGGGAATCACGAATCATTCTGTCACCCATGCTGGAATGCAATGGCATGATCAGCTGATCATAGCTCACTGCAGTCTCCAACTCCTAGGTTCAAGCAATCCTCCTGCACCTCAGCTGCCCAAGTAGCTAGGACAACAGTCAGCTGCCATCATGTCTGGCTAATTTCTTAAAAAATTTTTTGTAGACACAGGGATTCATTATGTTGTTCAGGCTAATCCCAAACTCTGACCTCAAGCAATCATCCTGCCTCAGTCTCCCAAAGCACTGAGAATATAGGCATGAGCCACTGCACCCAGCCTTACTTACATTTCTTTAAATGTTTTTCAACTAAAGATATGAGACAATGCAGAAAACCAAGAAAGTATGCCCTTATGCACTTTTAAAAAGTAATCATTTGAAACTGCCCCCAAGGAAAACCAAATGTTGGACTTATAGGACAAAGACTTTAAATTAGCTATTTTACATATGATCAAAGAAAACCATGTCAAATGTACTGAAGAAAAGTATGAGACAATGTCTCTTGAAAGAGAAAGTATCAATAAAGAGACAGAAATTATAAAAAAAAAACCAAAAGAAAGAATATAAGTATAATAACTTAAATGAAAAATTCACTAGAAGGAATCAATAGTAGATTAAGCAGGCAGACGAATCAGCAAAACATGAAGACAGCTCAATTTTAGATTATCTATTCTGAGAAACAGAAAAAAAAAGGCAAATGAGAGAGATAAATGATCCAGAGACCTCTAGGATATCCTTAAGAATATCAACACATACAAAATGAGAGTCGCAAGAAGAGGGGAGGGAAACGGTACAGTCAGAAAGAATATTTAAAGAAATAATAGTAAAAACTTACCAAATATGATGAAAAACATGAATATACTATCCAAGAAGCTTGATGAAACTCCAATTAAGATAAACTCAAAAAGATCCATACCAAGATACATCATAATCAAATGAACAAAGTCCATAAACAGAGAACATTGAAAGCAGTAAGACAGAAGCAACTCATCACATAAAAGTGATCCTCAATTAAGAGCTGATTTCTCATCAGAAGCCATAATGAAATAGAAAGTCCAAATAGACCTAAAAACAAGTAGTGCTTAAATCAATAATCAAAATACCTCCCACAAAGAAAACTCCAGCACCAGATGGATTCACTGGGAAATTTTATAAAACAAAGTGGAATTAACAACGTTTCACAAACTCTTCCAAAAACAGAAGAGGAGGAAACACGTATCAACCTGTTCTATGAAGCCAGATTCACCCTAAAACCAAAATCAGACAAGGACATCACAAGAAAATTACAGACCAATTTTGCCAATACTAGCAACCAAATCCAGCAACATAAAAAAGGATTACACATGATAATAAGCTGAAATTTATCCCAGGAATGCAAGGCTAGTTTAAAATATGAAAATCAATGTAATGTATCATATTAATATAATAAAAGACAAAACCACATGATCATCTACTTAAAAGTAGAAAAAGCATTTAACAAAACCTAACAGTTCTCCCAATAGAAGCACTCAAGAAACTAGGAACAGAAAGGAAAAACCTCAACCTGATAAAGTTTATCTAAAATAGATAAATAATCACAGTTAACATCATACTTAATGGTGAAAACTGGCATCAGTTTTATACAACATCAATATGAAAATATCAACTGTATCTCTAAAGACTAGCAATGAACAATCTAAAAACAAAGTAAATAAAACCATTTACTATAGCATCGAAAATAATAAAGTATTTAGGAATAAATCTTAAAAAAGAAATGTAAGACTTGTACACTGAAAACTACAAAACATCACAGAAAAAAATTAAAGAAGACTTAAATAAATGGAAGGACACTCCAAGTTCATGGATTAGAAGAATTAATATTGTTACAGTGCTAATACTCCTGAAATTGATCTATAAATTCAATGCAATCCCAGTTAAAATCCCAATGGATTTTCTGTAGAAATTGACAAACTGATTCTAGAATTAATATGGAATTGCAAGGAATCCAGAGTGGCCAAAACAATCTCAAAAAGAACAAATTTGAAAGACTCACACTTACTGATTAAAATGTACTATAAAGCTACAATAATTAAGACAACAAAGTAATGGCATAACAATAGATGTATAAATCAATGGAACAAAATTTAGAGTCTAAAAATAAACCCATACATCTGTGGCCAATTGCTTTTAAATAAGGGTACCAAAACAATTCAATAGAGAAAGAATAGTCTCTTTTACACCATTTGTACTAAAAACAACTGTATATCTGTAAGTATATCTATAAGTATGGCCTCTTCTTGCACCATATGCAAAAATTAACTCAAAATGGATCAAAGGCCTAAATGTAAGAGCAAAAACTATGAAACACTTGTAGGAAAACATAGTAGTAAAACTTTGTAAATCAGTAAAACTGATTAGGCAATAATCTCTTAGATATGACACCTGAAGCACCAGCACCAAATTTAAAACAGAAATTCAAAGTTTAAAACGTGTGTCTCAAAGGACGCATTAAGAAAGTGAAAACATAATCCAAAGAACAGGAAAAGATATTTGCAAATCATATATCTGATAAGGATCTAGTACTTAGAATATATAAAGAACTCTACAATTCAACAAAAAAAGGCAAACAATCCAATTTAAAAATGGGCAAAGGACTTCAATAGGCATTTCTGCAAAATACACATCCACATGACCACAAAACACATGAAAAGAAACACATCATTTGTCATTAAGGAAATGCAAATCCAAACCACAAGGAGACAACAATTCATGCACACAGTAGGATGGTTATTATCAAAAAATATGGACAATAACAACTATTGGTGAGGATGCTGGAAAATTTGAACCCTCATACATTGCTGATGTGAAAGTAAAATAGTTCAGGCTTTCTGAGTGTGGCAGCTCCTCAAAATGTTAAACATAGAGTTATCATATTTCCCAGAAATTCTATTCCTAAGTGTATACCCCAAGAGAAGTGAAAACATATGTTCACATACAATGGAATATTATTCAGCCATACCAACGAATAAGTACTGAGACATTCTATAACATGGCTGAATCTCAAAAACATTATATACTAAATGAAAGAAAACAGACACAAAAGGCCATATAGTATGATTCCACTTACATGAAATGTCCAGGAAAGAAATCTATAAAGACAGAAAGTAGATTAGTGGTTTCCAGGGCTGGAGAGTGATTGCTTAATGGGTAAGGTATTTCTTTCTGGGATGATAAAAATGTTGTGAAATTAGATAATGGTGATGGCTGACCAACCTTGTCAATATACTAAAAACGACTGAATTGTACACTTTAAAGGAGGAATTTTATGGCATGTGAATTTACCAAAATTAAAAAAATGCAAAAGAAAGTTGTAGTTGCTATGCCTCATGTGACTACTGTAAAATCTTATGAATCCAAAATATTTATGATTTGTAGATCTCATTTGTAAAAAGCATATTTGAACTACATATACTTACTATTATAGTTAATTATTACATAATAATCAAAAACACTTTAGGCAATTTTATATAACTTTTGGAAATAATGATTCTTTGTACACTTAAGCAGTCATAGCATACAGAATTAAAACTGGACAAATCTAAGTACATGGAAAAAACTTTAATCCATTTCTGTACAGGGAAAGGGGAACTGGAGAACATTAGCCTGTTGAACAAGACTGATAAAATCTTTAAAATGCTAATAACTTTCTTAAAATTACAGAAAATCTATTTATGAATACCTGGAAAACTTGATGATCCCACTATTTTCACTGCATCTTGGGTCAAGCGAAAAGCTCTTGGTAATCGAACCAAATATCCAACTATTAAAAACAAAAAGAAATGATCACCAATTTGCCTCATTAGAAATTCCAAAATATTCACATAGCATCATACTATAGTATATTTGACCTTGGTTAAAGGGGAAAGCCATAAATCAATCTTCTCTAACAGATAATTTCTCTATTCCAACTGTACTCCCCTTCATATGCTCTGATAAATGTAATCTACCTACTGCTTCTCCCTATTATATCTTACCTATGGCTTTTTCTACATCCACCTAAATACTCTCCTTATTTTTAAAAGTTCCAATCTCCTACCATTCAAGACCCAAATCACAAATTTCTTCTCCTCCAAAGTTCCTGTTTGTCCTTATTATTTCTTATCTACAATAGCACATCACTAGCACCTCTCTAATAACAGTCCTCCTACATCGTATTATATTTATGCACATGAGTATATCATTTTCCTTATTAGATTATAGCTCCACTGATAGTGGGATCAGTGTTTATGTCCACTTAGCAAGAATCAGTACCAAACCCTGTGCATAGCGAATATCAAGTAATAATTGTGAAATATATCCTGATATTCATCAGTCACTTCTGAAGGAGTAAATGTTATAGGCACAACAGTGTGAACAGAACAAGTGTGAGAGGCAGTATTAAAATATACAATAGAGCATTATATCCAAATAACTTTTAACCGAGACGGAGTAAAGTACAAAGAAAAAAAATATGGTATTCAATGCAAGAAGACCTGAGTTTAAACCCTAATTCTGCCACTTATTGGTTTTAAGAATGTCACTTTAAACTCTAAGAGCTTCAGTTTTCTCATATGCAAAATGGGACTACTAATTCCAGCCTTACAGAGTTATTATAGTAACTGAATATTGTATAAACTGCAAAAGGCTATATAAATATGAAGCCTTCATTAGTTATAGCTTACATACTAAGATATTGACTGCTTATTCTATTTCTTATACACCCATAGGTCTAATGTTGTTACTGGATCAAAAGACAGCAAAGCAAAAATTTTAAATGAAAACACACACTTTCATACTTGGTACAAGACCATAAACCATGTTCAGGAAGTGTCCTTCTCCTGCATGGCAATTAAAGGGTATTGGCTATTCTCGTAATCATACATGAATGATCTTTGGATTCCTGATATCAAGACTTCGATAAATTTTGTAATCTCCGATCCACTCCATTTCTCTCTCTTCTCTTCCCTATCCCATGCCAACTTCTACATGTCTTCTACATTTATATTCTTAGGGTACTTTTTTTCATTCTCCCTTATTTGAACATTTTTAGCATTTGAAACAAATCTCTTTCATGCTTTTTATCAATTCTGAGATTTTATTTTTAAAAAGTCTAGAATTTGAACACAAAACAATACAGCCAAAACCATTCTAGCTAAATAAAATTTAAATTAAACTCTCATTTCTTTCTGCATTGTTTGTTCATCAGTATCTTTAATGAATTTTGAAAACAGTATGGAATAGCATTTTGATTCTTTAGATGACATTTAGAGGACCAAGCACTTGCCGCATTTTACATCACAAACCAAAAGATGGCGCTCCACTACCACAGATAATTTCAAAGCGGCAGGATGCCTACTCTTTTAGAAATATGAGGGAAAGAGTGCATTTACATCATTACAGAGTGCACACAGTGAAATATAAAGCTGGAAAATGACCCATAAACTGTATTAAGAAATTTATTAACAAACCAGTTGAAAACTTCAACTGCGGACGCTTTAGTAAACTTCTACCTATACGTTATTAATTCCCCAGTCATTTGCTCTTCTATGTAAATGCAGACTGCCTTTGCACAACTGCTATACAAAATTAACCTTTCTTGTCAGGTATTAGTAGTGAGTAGAGTGTCTTTTTACATAAAAGGGGTGCACGTGACACAAGAAAAAGCAATTCTCAGTGGGGGGAGGGGAAATCAAGGTTGCCCCGCCGCGCCCGCCGGCCAGGTGGTACCAACCCTCACCTGACGGGGGCGCCCGCACAAGGAAGGCGGAGAGAAAGAGGAGGACAGCGGCCCGGGATAGCGAGGAGCCCGCGTCCCGGGCCCGCCGCCAGCCCCGCCGCGCCCGGCCGGCGGCCGACGCCTCCATCCACACGCCGCCGCCGCCTGCCGAGTGTCCGCGCAAAAGGACGTTACCCTGCGCGCGCCCACCCGCCGCCGGATGTTGGCGGGCGGTGGAACGGAAGGACGGACCACGGACCGGACGGACGCCCCGGCACTTCCGCCGGAGCGGTCCGCTCGTGGAAGGTCTTTATCTCCACGCTGCTAAAGAGAGGAACACTTGCTAGCTGTGCTGAGAGGTCACTGGGCCTTCGGGACAACACCGTCACTCAGGGAATCCTCAGGAGCCTAAGCGACCTGTCGAAGATTCTAGAGCTGGAAGAGGAACGTTGGGACCCCGTGCCCGCGCCTTAATTTTCGTGTGGCATTTGTGGACAGATGGAAGGCCCTTTTTATAAGCCAGGTCATAGCCTGAGTCTCAGCATTTGAGGCCCAGGCGGAACAACAGGTAGAATGTATGAGTTAAGACACAACCCTCAGAGTATTGCCTGGATCTAGTAATGTCGACAACTAGTATTTGATGAATGTGTGGAACTTAATTGGGAGATAAATGCAATACACATCTAGCGAAAATTAAAGATAAGGCCTTTAGTCCCAGAAAGAAGCATGATGGGAAAACGGAGGAAATGACCGTATATGAAATGGATTTTCTTCCATTATGCAGCCTGGAAGATCATATCTTATCACCTAAATTCAGAAAAACATAGAAAACCACCTATCACCTGTGGGAGACCAGACTATGTCTCCCTAAAATATGAAAGATTGTTCAGCTGAAGACAAGAAGCAGCAGATGCAAGAGACCTCTCTTTCTTCCCTTTTTGTCTAAAAGCAGAACATTTACAAAGACAAAAGGTATCTTCCTCCCACCCATGGAAAACAAGAGTTAACCGCTGAAAACAACATCAGACCCTCATCAGCCTTGAGATGATACCAGATTAATTAATATTAATAAACCTTACTAACCTTTGCCTTCCCCCCAAGTTGCCGCCTGTAGAGACTCAAAGTCCTTTTCTTTTGTCACATTTTACTGTTATTTGTTGAATATGCTATATAAGCTAGAATTCAAAGCCACCTGTTTGAGAACTACTCATTCTCTGGGTGTTTCCCATATGTAAGTGAAATATACATAATAAAATTTGTTTGTTTTTTTCTTGTTAATCTGTCTTTTGTAATGAGGGTCCATTCCAATTACGAACCTGTAGAGGTTATTATTTTTTCCCCTACACAGCCTAAGAGACTTTATAACCAGAACTTGTTTTATAGAAATTGAAAGAGAATCATGCCTCTACTTTTCTGCTGCTGGAAGGATTTAATCAATGGGAACAGGCCTGTAGTAGAAATAAATATTACACAGTTGGTGCAAATACATTGAACGAAGTGTGAGTAATGAAAGACACAATGCCCAAGAGTAAATGAATTGTCACCTTTAATATGAAGAAGTGAGTGATCCTGAGTGGACTAAAAAGTGTCACCTGATACACTATGTTCTGGATGAGGGATTTCAAACGGATACCCTAGCCACCTAATTCAGCTTTCCCACCTGTTTAAGAGTATATCTCAAAATTTTAATGACTTTAGTTGGAACATAGGTATTCTGGTTTTAACACAAATATCACCACCTCTTGCTGTTGTACAGTTGGTCTGACTTACATATTATGTGCCTGGCTCTTCAAAGATACAATCTTGCCTGTTTTGCATTTTTGCTGCGCTAAGATGTGATGTTTTATCCCCAAATTCTAATATTTGGAATTCTTACAGTAGCAGTTTTCTTCCATGAAAGAAGAAATTATTTAGTGGAAAAGAATGTTTAAGTGACCTGGTATATTAATGATTTAAATGACATTTTATATGTAGGCTAATAACTAATATTCTATTCACTGTAGTTTTCTAAAATGAGTTTACAAAATTGCTCTGGATATCATAGTAATATTAAAGGATGTAAAGATAATGTATGGCATGTAAAGGATGAACCTGTACTTTTGACTATAATTTGAAAATTTTTTTCCTTAAAAGTTAGATACACCAATTCAAATTTAGTGTAATAAATGTCTATATTTTGCAATGCATTTAAACATAATGTTTATTTAGATAGCAAGTGTTATATCTAGACCATTAATAAATAATTATAGTTACATATATACTTTTAAAAATATATTGTGTTATCACTGGATTAACTTCTTTATATTCTTTCAATATATTTTATACACATAAAGTATCAACTTATGGAAAAATTTAAAAATAAATAAGTGAGCACAGATTTCCTGAGTGTTGGGGAGAAGAGTGTCATAAAAATATCACTATCAAGGCTACTTTGTTTTTTTTAAGAATTAAATTATGAAGTACATAATAAATGGTTCAGTGTGTTAGAGTTCTAGCTGTTACCAAGCAACAAGGATTCCGCTTTTCTTCTTCTTCTGTTCTGTTCCTTTACTGCCCTATCCTTTTGGTGGAGAAAAATAATTTACCTTAAAAAAGAAAGAAAAAAAAACCCTACTCTACCAACATTTAGAAAGCAGAATCAATAACGTTATACTATATTAACCTAATTTTCAGTTATTGGAAATAAGAGTTTATACTGTTGAAAGAATCATCAGAAGTACTTATAGTTATCAAAAATTCTAAAGAGAAACGCTATGGATGTGGAGGTTCAATACACACCTGGAAAGATAAGTATCTCTAAAAGGTCCATCCTTTCTGGAACAAAGGCTGTTGAGAACATAGATTACCCACACTACTGTGGCCTCTTAAGAAAAATGAATATGCCTTTTGTGAAAGGATTTGAGGACAGACATCAGTGTGGCAGATTTGAAAAGAAATGCAACCCTTCTTTTCTTAAATTTCACCCTTACCCACCTTCCGTCCTGCCAGACTATCATGTACATTACCCTTATCCCCCACCATATGGGCCACATTACCCATTATCTCCACTTCGGGATGATGTGCCTTTAGGTGATGCCTGTTCAGGGCTTATGAGTCCTGGTGGTGATGCTGATTTAAAGCCTGGCATTGGCAGAACCATACCAAACTTAGTGAGTTACAGTGATGTGAAACCTCAATATCGAGTTCCCAGACCAGACACAGGTTTTGCAACAACAATAAAAAGGCAAACAATTCTATCAGAAGAACTGCAACAGGACAGAAGATGGAATTCCAGGAAAGTACCAGACATTTCCATCAGGGCAAAACTTGGAGGTAAATAAAGTGACATTTACTTTATATTTTTTAAATATTCAAACAAGGGAGGAGAGTATGGATATAAGATTCAGTATGTTTATGGTTAAATTAACATAAAATTATAAAGAACTGAATAAGATTTTCTTATCCTTACAGATTGTAAGAAAAAAGTAGTAAGAATGAAAAACCATTTATAAGCTTATATACAAAACAAAATTTTGTTTTTTAAGAAAAGACATTGATTAGTTTAAGTGACCAGCACAAAATGTGTAACATTATTTATTGCAGATATATGGATAAATTTATTTTACTAGCAGGGAATTTATCTATCACTTTGATAATTGTATAGTAAGTCTCTTTCTCTGTTTCTCTCCCTCAAGAAAATTAATTTGCTGATGGTTATGAAAGAGTTAGGTTACAGGGGCTGAAATAAAAGGGGTAAGTAGTGGAAAGTAAGTATTTTGTGTCCAGAAAGTACAGGAGCTGAAGAGAAGCAAACTCTGCATAAATAGCTCCACAGACCTGGAGGCAGGATTGATCACCTCTCACTGACATCAGTATCAGGTAGTTTCTCTGTAAGAACTCCCCTAGATGGTCACAGGCCTGGCCCAGAAGTGATGAGCAACACCTCCAAAGGATGAGCACAGGGACTATTTCCTGTGTGGAAGTTGTCTAGCAGGCAGGGCATGAAAAGAGATTAGCATCTTTGAGCTTGTGAAAAGGAGGAAAAGGACAAATGCTGTAGCAAGAGGTGTTAGGCTTGCTCTAGTATCAGAGATTGCACCACCCTTACACAGGTCCTCTTTAGCACCCAGCCATAGACCCGAGGACTAAGGAAAACATGTGTCGTGGAACAGTGAGGCCACCACATATGTTGGGCCAGTGGGGATTCATGGTTTCTGCCACTCTTCCATAGAGAAAAAAGTTAGGAAGAGGGTAAAAGTAAAGGAAAATGTAATACAAATGAAAAAACCAACAATATAACTCTCCCCTGCCCCACTCTCCACATAATCCATTTTTTGAACCAGAAGGAGGAATTTGGAAAGATGTAAGCAGAGGATGAGTTTCCCTTTTAATTTGCAGTTCAGTTGTGGCCTTACCAAGTTGGTATAGGGAAATTCTGAGTTTATAATGGAATTTTCATATAAAGGTGTAAATGAGATTCAATAACCTATCTTGACAATAAATTATTTTATAATCCATTGCAAATATGATCTAGGAAATATGGTATTACTGCCAATCGAATCCACTTGTATCTACAAGTGACAAATACTATCTTACATGCTAAAAATGTTGCCATTGAGGAAACAACTGTTGAGTCTAAATCCTTCCCACAGACACAGAACGTTTAACTGATTCTGAACTGGTGACTATTTTTCTAGTCTGTCCAAAAAGTAGCTTAAGCTCAACCTTCACTAATATGTCGATGTATATTAGCATTCGTTATCAAGAATGTTTTCTTAAAGGAACTGAAGTTATTCTTCCCATTTTAGGCAAGGATGCCACGTACCTTGTAAACAGAAAACCCTGGTCTAGTATAATCTTTAAGAGAATAATTGTTGGTTTATTCTTATAAGTTCTTTTAAGAGTGGACTCTTGAAACATTATTCCAAGAAATTATAGGTTAAAGAATGATTTATCTTAATAAAGCTAACAGGATTAAAATGATGTTAATGGACTTTGGACCAACAATTTATAAGCAAGTTTAGAGTCATCTTGTGTATTTCAATGCCTGAATCAATACAACAGAAGAATTCAGAGGATAGTCAGACTCCCTGGGCTTGAATCCTGGCAAAAGCTTACTTGCTATATGACCCAGGGCTAGTTACTATTCTCATCATGCCTGTATATCCTCATTTATAAAATTCACATAATATTAAAACTTTATAACATAATTTTAAGGGCCATTTGATGTAAAAAATACCTGACATACAGAAAGAAACTAAATAAATGTCAGATTGTGTACAATCCAGAATTTTCAGTTCCTTTACACATAAATTGGGAATAATACTACTTCTCTTATACAGTTGTAAGAATTAAATGAATTAAGACATGTAAAGTGCTTAGCAAATTCCCTTAAACCCAATAAAACATTC